TAGCCAGGCCTAAAGTCAGAATACCTWAACTTATAGAGCGTTCTGACTCGGYCAARTATACACAAAYAGAGRGCACAACTACTTCTCTCTTCTTTGGGCATATGRCTAGACCACTCTAGTCGCCCTGAACTGTTTAAATAGCCAATTTATATATACCTCTCTGAACTTAGTCTTCAAAGGGACATAAGGCWSAGYCGCTCAACKTAGAACATTGCTCAGCCTRCCCAAGTTTACCTCCAATTATATCTCTTAATTATACTCTCTTAGTTGTGATAAGCTATAGTCAGGCCACCTAAACTTATAGAGCARCCTTACTAGCCTGTTCATAATAGCATAGCAGATACAMTATAGCCAAGTTATAYCCATTGGGTTCCAACATRTGCGAGGYATTGGGTCRGACTATCTAAACTTATAGAGCGGTCTGATCCTCAGCCAGGTTCGTTTCTCTCTGGTCCAATCTGTGCGAGGCAGTGGGACAGGCTACCTAAACTTATAGAGCGGCCTGTCCCTTGCCACAATTACTCCYTCAKAACAAAACAAGAGAAGGGTTGAACCACCTAAACTTATAGAGCGGTTCGGACCTCCTTATTCAGAACCAAAGAAACTRACAAAACCCCAAATAGAACAAGGCAACCCAAGGTACCTAAACTTATAGAGCGCTTTGGGTTCCTGAAAGCCACCCACAGTCAAACCCCCACAAGTCAGAACAGCCATGACACCTAAACTTATAGAGCGTCCTGACCCTCCAAGCAAGTCACAGCACCAGGTCTCCCCAAACTTATGAGRACATCCCARCCTCMAGAGCTTCAGGCTACCTAAACTTATAGAGCGGTCTGAGGCTCCATGCAAACCAAAAATAAACAAAGCGCTGGGCTTCCCCAAACTTAAGGGGACCTCCCAGCCTTAATGACCCAGTCAAACTGCACACAATACTGCCTTCCTCCCAACCTTTCCCCAGATGCAACCCATCTCATTCATAGTCTGCTTTCAGGCAATCAACAAAACTGAAACTGAGATTGCACACACACTCCTTTACTTCAGCCTGACTTAAGTCCTGGCAGTCAAATCAAAATCAACGTACAGGATCCAGACAATACACTCAGTCAAACATAGAGAAATGTACAGGTAGGGGTTATAGTTGGGCTAATAGAGGGAGTCAAGGGCTTAYCACTCAGTTCCCTGCCTCCAGGACTCCGCCTGAGTCCCGGCAGAGCTCCCGCAATCGGTGGGGCAACCTCCCACAAAGGCTCAGGCRCGGGTCACGGGTCACACGCCCGCTTGCCACCTTCCTCTCAGAACCAATAGACTAGACTTTAAAGGGAAGAGGGCAGAAGAAGGGGGTTTAGGACTCTCAAATTCAGGGGAGTTGCACTYAGACTCGCAGGAGAAGGCCTTGAAATCTTCAGCGCCTGAGGGCCCCAAAATGGCGACCAGCTGTAACAGCTTGATCAAATGTCCGACGTCAGTCTGTCAAAGTCAACCCCTTCTGCTGACCGCGCAATCCGCAGCCTCCACTCTCCCTCCCCAACGCAGTCCAAACGCCCYCTCCTCACAGGCCGTAATAGCTAGCAACCGGTCGGTTGTGGCGTGCGGCAKTGCGTCGCGGTCAACARTAGCTGAYRACGATCYCTCAGTAGTTAACACGAGCTCACTCATAGCCAACAGGCKCAGTCCACGCCCAACTCTCAGCAGYATGTCGTAACTGTTCSTCTTCARCAGCGGGCASTCGCATGYCGTAGTTCRCCGCAGTCAGCAGCGGCCTTGGTARCCGCACACAGCGGAAGCTACCAGTACSGGCAACAACTYGCCCCTCCCCCAAACTGYASTAGCCTACCCARCTTGCTSCGGACCCAGCCGAGTWCGGCCAAATACCRTGGCAGCAYYACAAAACTCCACCTACACAGCGGYCGAGCACGRCTAGCGGCCACAACCGCCTGAGCCTCACCCTCGGCAGGCCAGCCGCTGCGATCCAGCCCCAYAAGCCTCACCAAAGGCYGGGCTTCACTCGGCCAGGCTGCATATGAATCGAGCAACTTACAGGCAGCGRCAAGATGGCGGAGCTCGGTCGAGGGCRTCCATRCCTCCAACAGRGAGCAARACAGCGCCTKGGCAGCCTCCGTYGCAACTGAGCTCCACAGGTCGCACCTCCCTGAGCCAGGTCGTCACTCTAATGAGCGCCCGCCACCTCCCACTCGTAGTACCCGTCAAGCTTACTAGGCAACCCAGTTTCTTTCACTTGCGGCC